GAGTACAAGGCATACGCGATGCAGCCCCTCCAGCTCTAGGACAGGCCCTACAAAGCACTCGAACAATCACTCCCAATGGAGACTCTGATCCAGCTCACTGGAGCCCTCACGCTCGACAGAGGGTCGCCTCCACGCACATATAGGCGGCGGGTGCCAATCACCCGTCGTCCTCCTCCCCCGCCGTCGCCAGCAAACCTGCCAGAAGTCGCTCCACGCATTGCAGCACTAACGCGCAGGCGCCAGCAAGGTCTAAGCTTGACGCCGAATGTAGGCTCCCCGCAACTGCTTTCATCGCTGCGACAACCCCGCAGTCCATGCCACTTCCCGGGGCGGGCGCTGGCAGCGCACGCCCAAAGAGAACCATCAGATCATCTGATGCGTCCGACAGTTCTAGAAAGAAATGTGGGGAAGCGTCCACGGATTCACTGTGCCACGCAGTGCAGAGTGCGCTGCGGCGAGCATCCCGCCACCTTCCCTGTCACCGTCCCAAGTGCCCAAAGCGGCGGAGCGTGGCGGCTGGAATCGCCACCATCCGCTCCACGCGCCGAAGACGTTCGACCCGAACCCTGGGCGGAACCCACACCCTGCCAGTCCGGCGCTGGCCCACGGAGCCGTGGCCAGGAGGGGAGCCCTTGCCTGAGGACTCCGCCCCCCCCCATCTCCGCTGACGCTGCCCCCGCCTCAACTCCAGTCGGCGATGGGAGCCGTTGACGGGGGGGGAAGAACGGACCATAGGCACCCGGGCCAGAGAACAACCGGAAGCGGGCTGCTGTGGCTCCAGCCATTGCAGAGCGGATGACAAGAGCAGAGGCGGTTGCCACGACGGCAAGGTTTGCTCTGACAGAGGGGGGGGCGCCCTGGCGGGACCTGCTGCTGGTATGCGGAATGGGGATTCGGCACAGCAAGGGGCAGAGGACGGGGATGAAAACTCGGCGCGGCGACTGAGGGAGGTTGGGGGTGCGCCGTCGGACACGGCACAAGATCCGCCAGCACCGCAGGGGGAGGCAGGATGCATGCGTCAGCAGGGGGGGCAGCAGCACGGTGATGCATCACCGGAGCCCCCTGCATGTGGGCTCACAAGCTCTCGATCGCGGCCGTATTCCGAGCGAGGGTCTGCTGCAGGGCGGCGGCCTCGCGACCGTTCGCCCTGCTATGAGCCTTCTCACCGCGCCAACCCTGCCGTTGCCCGATGCGGTCACGCCCGGCCACGTGGCGAGGCTACTGTGGGGGGCCACCGTTGTTTGAAGATAGCAGCAAGGCGACTCATGACGACCAGGATGCTGCCGGAGGGGTTCCCCCTCCGCGACGGTTGCGGCTGAGGGACGGGCGACAGAGGACGTGACACAGCCCGTCGCAGCAGCGCCCACGTCAGAGGATCGGAGCTGCGGCAGGGCGGCGGGGTCTTTGAGCGGTCCCTACGACGCGGTGGGGTTGACGTGCGACTCCCCGCCCCAGTGCCCGCCTGGTCCGGCGACGCAGGGTGGTTCTCCGCAGTGGCGAGGAGCCCGCGCTCCCACCGCATGTCTGAGTGATCGGCCGGCAGCTTCGCCGGACCTTGGGGGGGGAGGCGCTCTCACCCGAGCTCTCATGTCCGGCCGATCGCTCACGACGCGGATGGAGATCGGGGGCGGTGGCTCGCGACTGCGCCATCGCCGCCTGTGATGGGTGCGGCCGTGGCGCTGGTGGACTTGCGCAACTCGACGCCCAGAACAAGGGCGATGAGCCGGGCCGCGAGAGACCCCGCGGGGAGGTCTCCCGCGGCTTGTAGAGGCGGGCAGAGGGTGCACGGAGCGGGAAGACGAGGACGCGGGCGCAGGAGACGGTAGAGCGACGGTGGACCGGCCAATGGTTACCAACAGGCAGCTGCACGAGCTTTAAGGGTGCAGGAGAGGAGGGGAGGAACTGAGGAAGAAGTACAAAGGGACCGGACTTATAGTCCTGACAGACAGTCTGATTCCTCTACCGAAGGCTCCGAGGAGGAAGTTGAAGCCGGGGAGCGGACAGGGAGATCTGAGAGACGAACGCGCAGGAATAGGGGTCCCAGATCGCAAGGAGCTCCGCCAAACCCAGGGTGGAATATCCGTGGGGCGCTGGAGACGCTTAGCCAACCACGGCGAACCTATTCGCCACAAGAGCTGGCAATCGACGAATCTAGATTCGCCGAGGTAGCCAGCTGGGACATGTCCCTCCTTTGCGACAGTCGCCAGCCCCCATTATCTCGCAAGCTGCCCCCCATACTTCGCCCCCTTTTTGCTCTGGCGTTACCGACGCCACTGTTGCATCTCGGCGAAAACTGGTCCTCGCTGGCCGGTAGGTGCCTCTTCCTCCTGACACCACGACTGACACTTCGCCTCGCTTCCCTGAAACGACCAAAATGGACCCACGTGGAGGATCGTTTGAAACAGTTCATGCGAGGCGAATGGCAGGAACTCTACCGAGCAGCAATCGGTTCGATCCACAATCCCCTACCACCACGTCACACCCCAAATACCGTCGGCACGATATCTCGGGCGGAAGGTCTCGCGCGACGTGGCAGCCTCCGGCGTGCCCTGCTGGCGCTGGAGTCGTCGTCTGTCCAGGAGTCAACTACCGAGACCCTCGAAGCTTTGAAATCAAAACACCCACCAGCGTTGACCGTGCCAATTGCGTGGCCCTCAAAGGAAGACATTGGCGCTGCGGTCCAAATCCCTCGCGAAAAATTCGACCGGTTACTACGTACCTGCGAAAACGGTGTTGGCGCAGGACCGTCGGGCATGACGTTCGAGCACCTTCGCGACGCAGCCCTCGCCAACCCCGCCGTCGCCACCTCACTTCACTCACTCATTAACCACATGCTCAAGGGTGATCTACCAGAGGACGTAGCAGACCTCCTCTCCGCCTCCCGCCTCCTCGCCCTGGCTAAGCCCGGAGGAGGCACACATCCCATCGCCATCGTTGAAACTATCTACCGCCTGGCGGGCAAAGCGGCTCTCTATTCCTCAGCCGAGACTGCCCGCAACCACTTCCTCCCCCTCCAATTCGGGGTGGCCGTCACGGGAGGGGGCGAGGCCATTATTCACGGCACGCGCGCCTTTGCCTCGGAGTTCCCTGAGTCGCTGATCATCTAGGTTGATCTCGCCAACGCGTTCAATAGCGTCGATCGCAGGGCGATTGTGGTGGGACTTGCCGGCACATCTCTCAAGCACCTCCTGCCGTTCATCTGGTTCTCCTATGGCCAACCATTGCGTTTACTGCTTGACGCGGGGTTTGATAGCCCTCCGCTCCTCAGTGAGCGCGGAGTCCGCCAGGGGGACCCGCTCGGACCGCTGCTCTTCGCCGCAGCTATCCACCCCGCCCTCTGAGCCACGGCGGACGCCCACCCCTCCGTCCTCTGCCTCGCCTACGCCGATGACATCTCCTTCCTGGGCGACCCCGCTGATTGCACCTTCGCCTTTATACACTTCACAGCCGCCCTCGCCGACCTTAGCCCCACGCACAACCCCAACAAGTGTGCCGCCTGGTCGGCGACACGACCGGCGCCGCACCTACTGCCGTCGGAGATCCCCTTCCGCATGGACGGCCTTCGAGTACTCGGCAGCCACATCGGCCCCCCGGAGGGGGCCGCCACCTTCCTTAGGGCCCAGCTCGCCTCCATGGCGTCTCCCTTACCTTTCCTAGCCACTATGGACCTGCAAGTGGTGTCCTTACTGCTCCACTGGTGCATCTCGCGCCGAGTCTCATACCTCGTGCGCACGACACCCGTGAACCTGCTCCCGACAGCCGATTGGTCCAGGTGGGGGCAAGACCTCTTCTACACGCTCCTGCGGGTAAGTGGCCTGTAGACGCCTTGTGGGGAAACTGAACAGCTTCGCACCTGGGCCCAAGCTTCACTACCGCCCTCACTAGGAGGCCTTGGCCTCACAGACCCCGCTGTGGAAGGCCCGCACTCCTTCCTTACTAGCACCACCCGCGCTCACGCCCTCCTCGCCTCTCTGCCCGCTGCGGCTACTAGCCCTCTGACAAAAGCCCTCCGGCCCTTGGCGCCTCCGTTCACCAGCCCCACTACCCTTCATACCTGGCTGACGGAGTGTGAAGTGACGCTTCCGCCACGTGCCCTTGAGCTCCTGCAGTCGGAACGCACCGAGGCGTCCGATGTACCCTTGCAGCACCGCCTTTCTCTAGAGGTCCAGGCAGCCCGCTATGCCGACCAGGTGGAGGCCAGCCGCAGCATGGCGCTTAACCCCAACAGCGGCCATACGCAGCGCCTCTTCTCCCTCACGGGGTATGCATGGGGACTGGCTCCCGGCCATCCCCCTATTCCCCTCCCTCCGGCTCGCACCCCCGCACTTCGCGATCGCCCTAGCCTTCCGCCTGGGCCTCCCCTTCCCGGTCCCAAGGGTCTGCAACTGCGCCAAGCGGGTGGAAATCCCCGACCCGCGTCTCCCGAACCACCTGCTCCGCTGTGGGACAGGACACGGGCGCACTGACACGCATAATGCTCTTCACGACGAGTGCATCCGCATGGCGCGAGATGCACGTTCATCGTCGAGAAAGAAACTGCCACCTATACCCCAATTGGCGACCAGACTGCCGACCTGGCAATCAGGGACCGAGACTCGGGTGCGGTATGGATCTGTGACGTCACTATCACCAACCCGATCAGCAGCCGCGACCCCTAGCACAGAAAGGGAGGGGGTACATGGCAAGGGAGCAAGCAGACAAGAAGATGGACCACTACCGCAACTGCGCGCCGTACATCGATTTCTTCCCCCTCGCCGTGGAGACCTACGGGTGTCCATGTGCCGAGGTGCCCGCTTTCCTACAGCTCTTGGCCAATACCGGCTCCCGCCGCCTCTTCAATGTGAACCCGAGCTCGTACCAAGCCGCCAGGCTGCTCAACCAGTTCCGGCAGCGGTGGGCGGTCACCCTCCAGCGCGGGCAGGCCCTCTCATACCTCGGCAAGGTGAATGAAGCCTCCCCACTCGAGGGGCCCGTCCTTGGGGCCAGACGAAGGCATGTCCCTCGGGGACTGCTTCGTCATTTTGGAGCCCACTGGGGAGCTAACGTAGGCTAGCCAGGGGAGGGAGAGAAGTTTAGGATGCTGTCCGTTCCCGACCCATTTGCCTAGCTCTGTACGCAGGCTCCTAATGAATATAAAGGACCGCTTGAGAGAGAGAATCGACAGGGTTATCCCAGTGCCACGACACACCCCCCCGCTGGGATAGTGTGTACACCGGGAATTGAACCCTGGATGGCTTTGATACTGAATAAATCGACAGGTGTTGTAGTAGACTAAGTATAAAAACTATAAACACGAACACTTGGCAAATCCTCAAGTGTTGGTCCAGGATCTTTGCTGGAATGGTAGACTAGTAAGACAGCGGAAGTCTTGTAAAATGTAAAGGTGAAGGTTGAATAACCTGAGTACGTGAACTTGTGGGTAATCAAAGCTAATAATGAAAAGACCTAACAAGTATTTATAGTTCTAGGAAAAGTACCTATTCGCTAATGTACCTGTTCGTCACTATCGCGCTATGCGCTCTAAACGATATTGAAGAGGTGCGACTGTTCGCGTGACTGAAACGACAGTCCTATGACGAGCGCTATTTGCTGACGTCATTCTACGGACTTATGTTCTACAGTAAGATTCGACACTATCTACAACTAATCGACTTTACATAAATGCTAAGTATCAATTATATCACAACACTCCCCTTCATTTCTGGAAGTCGATAGTGTCACTTCTTGAAGATTCCGTAGAGCTTGTTACAGTACTGAAACTTCTGTCGTGTCAGCTTCTTCGTGAGAAAATCGGCAGCCATTTCGTTGGTCGAACAGTAGACCAATCGCATCCTCCCCTTCTCGACTTCATCTTTGACGAAGAAATAATGAAGAGAAATATGCTTCGTCCTGTTGACGAAACCAGGTTGATGTGCGATGCAAATTGCACTTTGATTGTCGCACTGTAGGGTAAACTGGGTAGTTGTCGTCAACTTCGCTTCTTCCAATAGTTCCTGTAAGTAAAGTCCTTCGCGTGTTGCTGTGCAGACAGCAATAAACTCAGCTTCAGCAGAGGAGAGTGCAATCAGCTCCTGCTTCGTAGAATTCCAAGAGATAGGTCCGATAGGTTCCAGTCGATAGATGAACCAGTGCGTGACCGTCGATTAGTAGAATCAGCAGCGTGATCGGCGTCGACAAAACCATGTAGGTAGATTGTTTTACAACCGATGACGTTGTAGACTAAACCGACGTCAGGTGTCGAGATAAAATATTGAAGCGCGGAGAAGATCGAGCTGATGCTCCTCCTAGGACGGCGTAGGAACTGTGCGAGCTGACTGGCCGCGTAGGCTAGATCAGGACGACAAGTGACAGCGGCGAAAAGTAGACAGCCTAGTTACTGTTGATAGATCTGTAAACCGGTTGAAGTTAACAGTGCGGTGTTCGGTTTGTGGTCAGTCGGTAGTGAGCGGTACGGTGTAGAGACTGCAGTAGTTGTGAGGTTGAAGCGGGCAGCGAGTGTTGCTGCGTACTTCGAAGCGGTGAGATGAATAGTTGTCGGTGAACAGGTAATGTTCAGTCCAAGAAACTGTGAGACTGTTTCGGAGACGGTAAGCTGTAGATTTTTCTGTAATTTAGTATGAAGGTCTCGGCAAGAGAATCGGTAGTACTGACGTATAGGATGTCATCGACGTAGGCGACGAGTAAAATATAGTTGTTGCCGTCGGTCAGTAGATACATTCCTTGGTCATGCGGTAGTTGACAAAAATCGGCAGCGATCAGTTGTGAGTGGAGATACTGCTGCCAGAGCCGTGGTGCCTGTTTTATGCCGTGCGTATAGGGATTTTTGGAGACGGCAAACGCTCGGTGGGTTAGTAGTATAAGAATGCGGGTACTCTACCAGGATAAGCGTCGACGGCGCGTAGAGAAATGCATTAGACAGGTCGATTTGTCGAAGTCGGAGATTACGGCAGGCGGCGACACAAAGTAGAATCCGAACGCTTGTATGTCGGCCGACAGGAGCGAAAGTTAATTCGTAATCGATGCCGTAGTCTGTTCAAACCGCGGACGACCCATCGCGCCTTGAATTTCTCAAACGACCCATCTGCATTAGTCTTGACACGGAAGACCCATTTTCCGGTAAGTACCTTCTTCCCTTTTACTTTCTGAAGTCGGTATTAAATCCCATTCCGTGATTCTTGAGTGCTGCTAGCTCCTTGTCCATGGCTTCGCGCCATTTTCTCTCGGTGAGGACTCGTAAGAGCTTGTCGAACGGTTTTTGGTTCAGGTATTTACTGTCGTTGTACTGTACTGCGACTGCGAACCCCAGTATCTGTAATCCTGTTTCTGTAAAAGCGCGGACGTTCTTCATTTGCACCTGCGAAATTTTCTTCTGGTCCTCTTCCCCCCCAATTTCGTCAGGTGTAACACGAACTGCTTCGTCGGAGACGACGGGCATCGGCTGCTGTTGGCGATCGCGTTCGTAACTGAGATAAACTTCGCGAACATCATCCTGGTCAGCATCTGCAAGAGGAATGAATTCAGGTATGCAGTCGAGGTGACAGGTTCGGGAATGTCGTTGCGGCAGCTTCGGAAGCTTCAGAAACATCCTCGTCCTGTACATCAGCTTCGGCTTCGTCAGTTGCAAACGCACGCGAGCCTTCGAACAGCCTGGCAGATTGGCAGCTGCTGCCTGGTGGGCACGAAAAATGGGCAAGGTGAGTCTTTCATAGAAAAGACAATCACGTGATGGAACGATTTGATGGAGCGAAGATCCAAAATCTTCCACGCGTGATACTATTTTTCGATGCCGAGTGTACCCCCCATTTTGCTCGTTCGGAAAATTTTCCGAGTGATGCGGTTGGAGGACGAAACTGTACAATACACCCGAAAACTCGTAAAAGTTTTGTGCTTCCCACTGTACGTGTCCACTGCAGGTGTGGAGAAGAAAACTCGGGCAGGATGTTGAAGAAAGAAGATTGTGTAACAGCACAGCGTGGTCCATCGCATACGGCCAAAAATGCGGTGGAAGAGCTGCCTGCGTCAGCAGAGCACGCATCTTCTCCTGCAGAGTTCTGTTCATCCATTCTGCTACCCCATCTGTTGGTGTGCATGAGGCAGTGACTGCTTCCGTTTGATGCCAAGTGTCTGAAGGTACTCTGTGAAGGTATTGCTGGTGTACTCCCCTGCACCATCACTTTGAAATTCTTGCAGTTTCACTCCTGACTCTCGTTCAGCGACAGCGAGCCATGCGACGAAGACGGAGTGAGCGAGATGGCGCGCAGGTAAGTTAGCTGTCCAGACATATCGTGTAGACGCTTCGATGAAGGTTATCACATACTTCTCGTCTTTAGGTCCTGCTTCAGACAAGTTGAGTATGTCGCTGTAGACTTTCTGCATCAGTTGATAACGGGTTGAGCCGGGAAAATGACTTGGAAACGGATCGTGCGTAAGGTTGGCAACTGGACAAGTGGTGCAAAACTGTCGGACGAGACTGCGGCTTCATCTCCGTGCCATCAGGTAAAAGTAAACTATTTTTATCAAGAACTGCTGCTCGTATTGAATGATTAAGAATCCCTTGTGATGGATGTCCTAGCCGCTGATGCCATATATATGCCGTGGCTTTGTGTCCTGATGATCGCAGGTAGAAATCGGAGTTAGTATGAAAGGAAGAAAGAATGAAAGGAGAAAGGGCTGGTGACTTGTCAATTTCACCAGAAGTTCCTTGTGCTGCGAACTGAAGAACGGATACGCCATGTTGAGTGGCGGCACGACCAAGATAAGTATTCGTCGAACTATGCCAGAGCTCCTGAGCCATCGTGTCACAATTGCCCTGTGTGCGGATTTTGTGTGCCAGGAGTTGAGCCGTGGATAGAAGATTGAAGCCAAGACCGTCGACGATAAGAACATTAGTAACATGAAGTGAGTATCCCGTGTCGATAGATTCGAGCATCACACTTCCAACTGCTCGTGCCATAATGCTTTGTCCGTTTGCGACTGTCACAAGTATCGGACGACGAAGTGAACGTTGGTTGGTAATGGAGCTTGTTTCTGCTGAGCACATGTGCCATCCGCAGCAACTGTCGAGATACCAGGTATTTGGACCTGAAATTATACGAGCGAGGTTAGCGTAAACTTGAGGTAAAGGAATGCCTTCAGCACTTGTGGTTTCTTCAAGTCGTGTCTCGAAATCTGTTTCTGCAACATCAACTGTTGTAACACATCCGAAAACTCCTTTTCCTGTTGTGGCAGATGCGAAGACCGGCGGGCGATGCTGCGACGTTGATGAATTCTGCGACGGTTTCGGCATCTGCTGCTGCTGAGACGTTAACTGCTCCTGTGGCTGTTGTGTCTTCGGTAACTGCTGCGAGCGGTGATACGGCTGCGAAGTTGGGCGACGAGCTTGATGACGGCTGCGACAATTTTGGTAAGTATGTCCTGGTTTCTTACAGAAGTGGCAGAATGGATACTTCGGTGGTTGTCGATGCTGTTGTTCTGGATTGGAGTAAAAACTCAAGTGTAGTCCCTTTTTCTGATTGCGTTGTGACTGCAGGTCAAGATCTTGCTGCTCTGCTTGAAGATAAGAAGAAATTTCAGCTTCGGAGAGATTGGGATTCATGCGCAGGAAGGCGCGCGTCTGTCGCCATTCGGGTCCAAGACCAGCCAGAAGGACCGTGAGATACATCTCACGAGGGAAGTATCCTCCGCTCTTTTCCAGTTGATCGCGTAGTGTACAGACATGGTTAACGTAGTCCATGACGTTTTCGTTTGTCATCATCTGCACACTTGTCAGCTGCGAAAGTATTTTACTCACTGTTATCGTATCTTTTGCCATGTATACCCCTTTCAGATGATTCCATGCAGTTTCGGCTGGGGCGAAACTTGAGTGAAATGATCGAATGCCGAGCTGCTCTTTCGGCGACAAGTTCCGTACAAGAACTGTATACGCCCCGAGAGAGGCGTGCAAGAAACTCTGCTGTTCCAGTTGTGTTCCCACGACAGGATACGTAAACTCGCCAGTGAAGAAAGGCCATAGCCCAGCGGACTGCGCCAGAAGCTCAAACTCAAAGCTCCATGAGTAGAAGTCAACACCAATAAAAGGTACGGTTGTCTTGATCTGAGTATTGTTAAGTAAATTTGGAGGCTGAAAAACAATGCATGGCTGTTGCTGTTGTTGCTGTTGATGTTGTTGCTGTTGCTGTTGATGTTGCTGTTGTTGCTGTTGCTGTTGATGTTGCTGTTGCTGTACTTGCTGTGGTTGTTGAGCAGGAGAACGTCCGAAAATATAAAAAGGATGTTGAAACTGCTGCGACTGCGGCTGCTGTACGAAAGCTGAGAAAGCGAACGAACCAGTACTTGGAGCTGTAGCTCCACGCATGTAACTTGAGCCATCAAGGCTCATTCCACTGAACGCAGATGAAATTGATTGCGTTGAAACTGGTGGCTGTACTGATGCTTGTTGCTGTGCTGTTGTCTGTGATTGTTGCTGTTGCGTTGCAGGTGCAGTCGATGGAACACAGAAGGCGGATTCTGCATACCGATATTAGCGTAGGCTGGTGGAAAATGCCCATAGGCTGAGAGACCAGCGGCGGTAGTGGAGGCATGTGCTCAAGTAGTCCAGTAACTGATCCAGCAGATGGTGCTGGTGATGAACCAGTCATAGTTGACGGTAGTCTTAATTCCAGATAGCTCTCATACCATGAAATAAATCGACAGGTGTTGTAGTAGACTAAAAACTATAAACACGAACACTTGGCAAATCCTCAAGTGTTGGTCCAGGATCTTTGCTGGAATGGTAGACTAGTAAGACAGCAGAAGTCTTGTAAAATGTAAAGGTCAAGGTTGAATAACCTGAGTACGTGAACTTGTGAGTAATCAAAGTTAATAATGAA